TTGAAACTTTGAATAATTTTTTATTTTCAAAGTGCCTTTACTTTCTATCGTATTGTCTGTAATTTGCTGTGCTGTTTATTTTACCACATTACCTATCATGGTAGGTATAATTAGAATCCGATTAAAGGCTAATTTTCTAATGGAATCTTTTATACTTCAAACATTTTACAAGTAGCAGTAATTGATAATCATTTGTCATTTGACTACTATAATCAGATGTTGAAAATTCGCATATTTTTTGACTTTACGATAATACTTGTTAACTAAGTACATTAAAAAGATAACCATGCCTAAAAACATCTAACCAATTAAACCACAGAGATTTAAAAATGATGTGATAGACTTAACAGATTGTAAAAGCATATTTAGTTTTAGTGGTACATGATCTATCTGTAACATACAAGAGCGGTACGCAAAAAGAAGTTTAAAAACTTCTGATATAAATCATTAGGTAAACATTATTTTTCCCATCGCGTAATAAATATATATATATTCAGTCCTATTGACCATATATAATTTAGCATTTATTGTTTATATATACATGTGGGTTTAATTATATGGTAAATTAACTTATCTTAATCCAATAAAAAGCTCATCATAATATATTAGTTGAAACAAGGTATAAGAAATATGTTTAATATTAATAAATTTATAGTTAAATATTAATTAAGAATACACTTGTGCAATGAAAATACTCGAACGAATATTTTTATTATTTGAAAATACAAAACACTACACTGAATTTATATTACATCAGTCAATTTGCGCTATACATGACCACAGCCGGAGGCATACGCAGGAAGAATACCGTTGTTGAGATCCGGCCGATGGCCAATGGCTAATGTGTACGATCCGAGTAGATAAATATAAATTGTTTAAATAAGGACACAAAAATATAAAATCAAATTCGTCTGTATTGTAATGTTAGCATTTGTGTAACTTTATGTCTGTACATACGACAAGATGTATAAATATAGTAAAACTCTGATAATGACACTCTTATTAGCCATTGACTACAAAGATAATCCATCATTACAATATCTATGCACGTACCTTATTTTTAAATGAAACATTGATTTGTACGCAGCTGGTAATTTAATTATACATATTATACTATAAGTCTAACGACGAGTCGACGGATTTAGGAATATATGAATTGCGTTTCACTCAACGGTAGTAGTAGAGGTGGAACTATGTGGGGTGAGAATAGAAGCGATGGGGTTGAGGGTGGTTCCCGCTAACGTTTGTTTTGTATCTAAATAAGCAATACGCGCAATTTAACAGTAATCCGACAGCTTTTATAATTAGAATCGTGCGTGCCGTTTTCAGCAGAGTTGCAACGAAAATCTCCTATGATTCCATACCTCATATCATACCTACTAGCCGTCACGACAGATTTTGTATAAAAGACCGCAGATAAGCTCTTATGTATTATATTTGCATATAAGGTGATTCGCCAAATGTGCTCACACAAAATTGTCTTAAATAAACATTTAATAGATAATTACCTTAAGTAATTAGTTTTAAAAAATTAAATAGAAAATAAATTTAATAATTTAGTTTAGAAAACGTATTTTTATAATCAAAAGAGTGCAATAATTTTAAAATCCTAATAATATAATAATGAATAATCACAGTTATTCTTAAATCATCATATACTTAAACATATTATTTTAAAAGCTATTTTTTGAGTACCTATACAAAATTACTACTCATTAAAATTTCGATTTATATACATCAACATTTAAATTAAATAATCTAATCATAAATGTACAGAAAAAAATGTGATTTTCATTTAAAAAAATATGATGTACGGTGCACACGTACATTCAAAGATTTAAAAATCAGAGTTTGAATGAATAAATTCAGTAAAGAATGAGGGAAGTACGCCTTGTTAAATCACCCACTTTGTATATGATGCGGTTTTATCGAAAGCAATCGAGAATATTATTAATAATACGGTAAGCCATAGTAAACGTCAAAAAACCGAATAAGTCGATTACCATCGTCGTATACCCCATAGCATCTTATAGTTAGTCAAAGCACGAACCGATAACAACATTCATCGTGAACTGACTGCCAGATAATTAATCCGATTAATTACAATATTATTCAAATTGATCGAAAACGTGAGCCCGGTGAATATAAAACGATGGGATTTCGTCGAATGCTTAGTAGTCGCTCGCGTTCAATATTAAATCGCTATAAATAAATTTAACCGAAATGAGATAACAATAATTTTTAAGTGAAAATAAGATTAAATAATAAAATAGTAGATGGGTTGCACAAAAAAAAAAAAAAATAAATATATTATTTTAATGAATTAATGATCAATGTTCAGCCACTAAATCATGTTTAAGGGACTATTGGGTTCACTATTGATCCGTTAAACGTTTAGCAATTTATCGTGCAACCCAGCAATGCCGAAAGATATATCTAGAAACATTTTTACAAACACTGTAACACAAAGATTCTATGCGAACAACTGCATTATTATGCTCATAAATAATAAAATTCTATATCCAATTAATCCGACGAGGTTTTTGTACCCACCGCGCGTATGCCATACCTACCGCCACCTGCTCATATAAGAAATTGAATTGACGTGTGCAGTAAACCATGATACACAAGTAGTAGAATTAATTCCTTTGTTCTTCTTGAATGGACCGCGTAAATCCTCTAGTAAATGGTTAGTATTCGAAACATTACCGTGAACTTTGGCGTAAACTTTGTTGAAACTCTCACGAGAACTTTGCATCAGAATCTCATCGAAAATTTTAGCGTTGAATACTTAAGATTCAAAATAAATAGGCTTTTAAGCAAAATAACGATATAAATTTTAAAATAAATAAATTAATGTTCAACCACCGTTAATAAATCGTCATTTGTAAACAAATTGTTCTTCATCATTAAATATTTAAAATTTGTTTTATTATTATTATTATTATTATTTTTTAATGATCGTTGTGGTAGTTTTTTGTCCCACATAATATATTATAAATTATAATGGAGTTTAAATACACAGAATTTTAAATCTATGTTATTCGTTATTAAATTTATACGATCGCGTTTGTTAATTTTATTCAAATCGAACTCGGGACCATGAGAATTTAAAACATTTATTGAACATTTTAGTTGGAAGAATACTTAAATTACCTATGCATTCTTTGATTCCGTTACTAATTCAACACCGAATATTAATTTTTTAATTGTATTTATAATATAACCTTTAATAAATTGAATGCATGTAGGTAATTGAACAATTTAAAATGAGTACTACATTAACATAAAGTTTTCGTTTAAAATGTACAGTTAGGGACCTGCTACGATATTAAACATTTTTTTTTTTAATAAGGTCATAACACGTCATTTGGTCGTATTTTTCAATTTCTTAGATTTTTTTTTTTTTTTTTTTTTTAATGAAAACTTTCATTGTTGTGATCATAACAAAAAGCCGTGAATGAACGACTCTTGTATATTACTGGTACGTACAATATTCCTATTAAAATTTTTCTAAAGCCGTCTTCATTAAAATAATATCTGTTTTTTTTTCTAAATAAAAGTACACAATACATATCAAATAATTTTAAGCCTGTAGGTATTCATTATACATATTTTTTTGAAATGTAACCTTACACTGTAATGTTATTTACCACATACTATTTCGTAATGTTGGCGTTGTCGCTGTCACAGATCCGTTATCTGATTCCACCAAGTACGTGCAAAAACTATAGATTGCACTTGATATATCAATTATATATTACGAGTCATGACATTTTAGCGATGTTACATTAAGATTGATCATTTAGTATTGGTATAATGTTTTATTTAGAGAATGGACAACTCAAATTTTCCAAAGTGTCAGTTTTCATATTTTACATTCTGAGCAGAGTGATTAATGTACTGGTTTTGGGAAATGTGTTTAATTTATATATATATATATATATTTAGTGTGTGTCTGTGTCATCACATTTTTTTTATCTGAAAAAAATTAGATATACATGTATATAAAGTATAAAATTTTATCAAGTTGGAGGCCAAAATTGGGTTCCAATACCTAAAAAAAAAAAAAAAAATTAAGGAAAAACGAGATTATTTCAGCAACGTCAGTTTCTAATAAAATAAACCCTATTTTGCTGTGGCTCAAGTATAAAAATCATCAATATTTGAGATTTTTACCATACATTTATATTACATTTTTAAACAAGCAATACAGTCATTATTTCCAAAATATTTTGACTCTTTTAAAAGCTTTGTTCTATTTTAGTTTTTTTTTTCAATTTATATTTTATTACAATTTTCATCTATAAGTCAAGTTTAAAGAAACTTGCAAATAATTTTTTTTCCAATCAATTAAAACGCATTAAAAATATAGTAATGATGATTTTTTAAAAGCGCATTAATTAATTTTGAATGTAGATGAAATTTTCTTTAATTACGAAAATGTATAAACTATTTTACACCTAATTCAAAATGTTACACATTTTGATATTAATATTTAAAGCTTGACAAATTTAATAAAAAGATCTAATAAATGCGACTCAAAGTGATTCAACAACATGAAAAATAAATAGTCAAATTTTTATTTTATAAACATTTGAAGCTAAAATTTAAGCATAGTTTTACAAAACATTTATGTATATTAAAAAGTAAAATTTTATAATGCTTTCTGTTCAATTGATTTTTGTCATTTCGTTGTTATTTGTAATGTTGATTATACACAATTATTTGCACACCATTTGATAATCATTTTTTTTTTTTTTTTTTTTTTTTTAATTTATATTAATGTTGTATTTGTACAATCTCAAAAAATAACCTTACTACAAAAAAAAAAAAAAAACACCATAAAGATATATTAAATATTACAATCTCTTCCCCATTTCCTCGTTTAATATTCAAAAAATATTTATTTTTATTTGTTTTTAAATATACAACATAAATTTGCGAATGTTTTCACGTTTAACCTACACTCTTTAATATTATATTTTCTGTACACGTACCTGTATGATATGGACAGGCATACACTGCTATTACTCTTTGGGTCTACCACACATGCACTGCTGCAATCTATAACAAAATAATATATAAATTACAAATATAATATTACATAGTAATTTTTTTAGTTGTAACTTTCAAAACAATCGTTTCTGCAATCAAATAATTTGAAGTTTCTCCCCCTTCCCATCCATATCTGTAGCAGTGTTTTAAACTAAACACATTTCGAAATATCTATATAGACTATAATAGAAAAGTGAATTTACATTGCGCTATATTTTATAGCAGCTGTTGTTACAACACCGTACAAGTACAACAGTCGTACTACTGAAACGAGGGAACAATACATCGTTCAGAATATGTGAAGTGCGACATGAATTATTCTTCGTGCATATTTCCTTCGGTGTCTCTTTGGTTATTCTGGAGTACGGGTGTTTATTATACGATCAAATAAAATACCATTGTAAGGAACGCTTTTGTTATACACACCTAATTAGTCTGTGAATCGCAAGTTCGTGCAATTATTGAAAAATATTGATCTTACCAACTCGTATTCAATGCTAGAAGCTAGTCGTGTATATAGAGCAGAATCTGCGGTGCGGTTAAATATTATACAATACGGTATTTTACTTATTTGTTCGCATATTTCAAAGTATTAGCTTATTCTCGAAATAGTATTTGAAGTATTTTTATCAAAAAAGTATTTTTTTTAAATACAAGTTGATAACCTAATAGAAACACTCAATTTAAATTTAAAAAACTCACGATTAAAAAAAATGCTTATTTCAGATTTCAAGAACTCCATTCATCCACCGATTGACAAAAATAGTGTAGAGTTCATAGTCGGCTATTATTCTTTATAACGCATATTTTATTTTTATTCTTTTATTTAATAGTGTTAATACATCCATGCCAAAGAATATCAGAGTCCGTTTCAATAGATTTTACGAATTAAAAGGTATAAACTAGTAGAATAGTAGTACTTAGCTATACTATAATAACACGTTGAAGTTTATATCAGATTTTTAAAACAAACAGTTTTGTTTTCAAATTTAAACTAATAGATACTCTCATTAACAATGATTGTGTTTTATACATTCATTACTTGATACCACCTTGGATTCTATTAATAGGCATATACTATATTTAAAAAAAAAGGATCAAGTAGGTAACCGGTTTGATTAAGACGTGTGAATGTCTCTCATCAATTATTTCATTGATATGGTCATTAATGGTTGTGTCATGTTTGAATTCAATGATAAATTATTATATACAATAAGAAACGATTAGATTTGGTAACCATAGACATCAACAAATTATGATAATAATATCATAAATTTAAGAAATGTTCATGATTTTTATGTGTAAATATCTATACGTACCCCTCCCATAAAATATGTGGCTGTGGTAATTTCAAGAAAATGAACGAAACATATTTCCATCAAATAACAACCTTAGCACCAAACAATAATCAAATAATAATTATGGATATTAGAAAAACAAAGTAAGCATTTTTATCCCAATTGTTTTAAAAATCAACAACAAGTTTCCAATTTTGACTCACCCAAGTAAAAAATGATACAAATTTTCTAACAACAACTTTTCGAGTTGAATATGTTTGGAACATATTTCTACGAGAAATATATATCGTTGTAAAATCAATATATTCATTGCACTTTTCTAAATCTAAAATTTATTATGTATTATAAATATTATAAATATACTTGACGAAAGTTTAAAGAATAAAAATAACTACCATCGATGTTGCAAATAAATCAATATATAAAGGTCTCAGTATATGTTGGGAAGATTTAATATTCACGACTCAGTAAGTAATAATAGATACATACAATCTAATACCTGCCAACAAAAGTCCATTTATTCTTTCAGTTAGGATTCTCTTAAAGAAAAATAAATAGACACATACAAAAAAAATATGAAATAATTTTAAAAAACATGACAAACATTGAAAAAAAAATTAACGTAAATAAACATAAAACAATATTTTTATAGTAACGATGCTTTAGAAAATCCTAATAATTTTATGTACAAACAGAATTGAAAATGAGGTTTAAAATAATACTATGGAACTATAAATATAAACCCATGAAAACCTAATCGAAAATTCGTAACACGTTAAAACAATTTATGCCGTAATCACTATATTCCTAATAAATCTCAAGCTGTAGTTCAGAAAAAATTTTTACTGCAAGATGCAACTAGTAGCTACGGCATTGTCTTTACGACCGATCGCCAGAAATAAATAGTAATTTTTTATATTATAAAACGTCGACATCTTTAATTCTGCGCAATAATAACTATTACAATAAAAATATGTTTTACAGCGTATAATGTTAGTATAGCAGTTTACAAATCATAATGATTATCATTAATACAGAAGACAAAGTGTTTTCGATCGTTTCATATTTACAAATTACAATTGTTTACCTTTAATATAGTTTTCCTACAATAATAAATTTATTGAAATTCCAGTTTTGTAATAATATTTTGAACTACTTAAAGAGGTGTTAAATATTTTTGTTTGATAAATAAGAACGGTTTTTTAAAATAAATAAATTTTGATACACCTAATTAAAAATTCAAACCAATGTAAGTTATTTGAAAAAACAAAACTGTTAAAGACATAATTTCCAAAAGACACTTTGGATTATGCTTCTATTATAGTATAGAAATTTCAAGAATTTATAGATACGGTTTTAAAGAGTTTGTTTGGTGAATCACTCTGTATATATGGCGCAGATGGCGGCGACATTATATTTTATTGAATTAACCGCGCGCATAAAAGCTATCGGAACGGTTATCCCGCTAACCTCGTAAGGGTTCCCGCAACTTGACATGTACACAATATCATCGTACTGTACATTATTATACGCTGAAACTCTCTTTTTACCAATCCCTCTCTTTTCAGCTTTATCCATAGAGTCACACGACGATCGCATTATACTGCATAAAGTAAATACCATTCGCCCACACGCGGTTATGATATATAAGTATAGGTATCAACTATTATACGTGACGCGTTCACAAGATATTATAGGTATACATGGCGATAAAACCTTTCTGTAAAGCTATTATATTATTATATACAGTACTACATGATGATTAATCAAGTATAATAAAACCAATTTTTTTTCAATTTAATATGATGAATTTAATCAAATTTTGATTTTTAGAATTCTTAAATACCCTTAAAATTGAGTTCTATACATTTACCTTCTAAATGATAACAATTTTTAAACAATTTTGGTTTACTAAATATTTTAATATATTCGTAGATTGTTCTCTATTTAATCCTATAACCAATATTCATCGCTAACCATTGATCGAAAACAACTATAAAGGTATATTATAATTTTATGTGAAATAAAATAGTTATAGAGTTTTATAGTTGATTTTTTTCAATATTTCCCCTATAAGCGTTTTTATTCTTTCTAGAAATAAAATCTTTAAGCTTTTAAGGTCAGATGAATACATTTTCTTTTTAATATAATTTCGTCACTGAATAGCTGAGTAGGTACAGTACAATATAAACAAGGATTTAGTTGGTTGTCGCTATGAAACACTGTGAAGTATATGATGACATATAGATATATTTTTGGTATACTGTATACGGTTTACAATAAAACATTTTTGTTTTTTTTTGATCCAAGAAAAACAATAAACTGTTGATCTCATATTAACCAAATATATTCTTCTGATTTATTTTATACAATAAATATTTATCTTTTTGACGAATGAACAGAGTATGCGTAAAATATCCGATTATTTTTGTCTTTTTATTTTTGTACCTGTATAAAAGTTATATTGTTATTATTTATATTTCATCGATTTAAATAATTCTAAAAATGTAATATATTTAATTGTTTATGACTATTAATGAGTGCCCCACTTTTGAATTAAACAAAAGTGTATTTTCCCTCTTCTAATAAAGAAGGTTTTTCATAATTTTATTATATTTAATGTATATTTATACACCTACCGATGTGACAAAACATAATATGAGGTTTTAAATACAAAATAAAAAATTTATCAAAATATACAATATTATTAATTGGTCAAAAATATATTAATAACGATTTGTCATTTTGTAAAAATAGTTTAAAGACTGAATATGATAGGCATGATAAATCTTCTGTTACCTAAACATTACGTATATATACTCCGATACTCGATAAATTAAAATCTAAGATAATAAATGGATATAAAAAAATTTAAAAATATTTAAGTCGATCAAATAATGAGAATGTTGTATAATATACTAAACTTATAAACTATATTCCACAACAATCGGAATTATATGATAATTAGCGTTATATGTTTTTGTAGTATTTTATTTGTTCCCAGGATTATAATTAGAATACTCTTCAAGACATAATAAAGCTTCTAATTAATTTTAATATTGTAATGAATTTAAATTAAATAAATTAAATAAAAATGAATTTAAATAAAATATTAATTCACAAACTAAAAATACGTAGAAAGTATATAAAAAAAAATTTTTAAAAATATAAAATAATGCAAGAATAAGTAAATATATTGTTTGTTATATAAAAAAAAAAAAAAAATAATAAATAGTACCTAGATTTATTTTTATTTTTTTTAATTAGACAAAAATAATATAAATTATATTTTTGATACATAAAAACTCAACACTCCCTTATAATTACAACGCATTAACTTTCGTATAAGCTTATGTGCGTTAATATTACTACCATTAGCTTTAAAATAAAAAGTAAGATTATATAAGTATACATATTTTAAAGAATAATAATAGCATCATTTAAACTTTTATGAAAATAATTATATACCACACTTAAAAATTAAAACACAACGTAAAATTATTAAATTTAAAACATTGTATTTAATAGTACACGGTATATCTAATAGATAATAAATGCAGATTTTAAAATTCCACAACCAGCCTTTTACTGTGATACTAATCTCATCACATTTATACATTTTATACGAGTACTGCTATTCAATTACAGTTAAACAAGAAAAATTGATTTTTAATATATTAATACTAATACGATTTTACATGAATATCAAAT